GAATTCCCTCAGGTTTGAGAACAGACAGCTGGTTAGAATCTAGGCAATTCTATTGATTTGACAGGAGTCAGTATGGTAAAAGAGCAGAGAGTTTGGCTTATAAATTGAAGGGCAGGGCAGAGAGAAGAAAACCTAATGAATACATGGCTTTTCACTTTCCTACAGTCTGTGTGTCATCTGAAGGCAATGTCCTTATGGTACTTACTAACAGTGCGGGTGGATTTTAACAGAGAAGCATAAATTCAGTCAGATAAACAGGTTTGTTCATTCATTTTTTTCACTGTGCAAACCAGATAAACCTTTAAATTTTATAAATGGTTTGGGACTTTTTTTCACTTTACCTCCCAAGCACAAATTAACTAACTCTCAAAACATCTAGGCTAAATTTGGTCTCCATCCAGCTGTTAGAGAAATCACCACAGGAAGAAACATTTCAAACATTCTGGGGTAAGTGCTGAAATAAGAAACCTGAATTTTAATTACGAGTTAATATAGTCATTAGTACTAGCAAAATGTGAAATACTGCCTACAAGCTTGCTTGCACCGAACCTGAAGTGTTTTATGTCTCTCTGTTATGCTTTTAGGTTTAGAGCCCAGAGGAAAGTTCACTGTAGTGCAGAGAAGACTTTAAGCTTGCAAACACAGCAGGTTTCACTCCAGTACAACAAGAACTGAGGGAAGGAGAAGCAAAAGAATAAAGACCTAACATCTGTTACTAACTTTAGGTCCCAGTTCAGCCAAGCATCTAAATGCATGCTTGCACCACTTTATGTTTATGACAAAGACTCATCTTGCATATTTTTCTCCTTTCTGATCTTTATCTAGTTCTTTAGAAACTACAACTAAATGGCAGTACATAAACAATAAGACTTCAAAAGATGTGAACCTCTGTCTAAAGTCTGTCTTTCTTTCTTTTTTTGACCACATTTGGAGTATAACACTTAATCTTTTTATCTAAAGACACCAAACAGAGTAGTCTAAAACTGGAAGCTTTGCAGACCTATGGACTTGAATACAAATCTAGAAGGGCAGAATAACTTTAAAAAAAGCAGGGGAAACACATATCTCTAACATAGAGTTTGTTGAATTACTGCATTTTAGGAGAATAAAAATGGGATTTTTTTTTCACATGTAAAATATGTGCAATTTTTTTTTCACTAAATGATTTTAAAGTAATTCTACAAGATACTAATCAGTGAGCAATAAACTTTGTGGTATCAGCTATTTTGTTTATATTTATATAAATGTGTGCCTATATATTATTTAGATAGTCTACAGAGACCTCTAAAAAGGGTACATAAGAGTTCTGATTGACAGTTCATTCCATTTTCAGTGCAAGGTAACAAGCACAAGAAAAAAAACAAAACAACTACTGTTTCTGTCTGTACATAGAACAATTCTTGGAAATGCTTATGGGGCAAGAGTTTCAAGAGCACTCACTGCTGACCTAACCCATTATTGCCTCAATGGGGATTTCATTATTGATATAAATAAAACCACAGTGTTTTTTGGAAGTCCTTGCCCTGTGCAGCATGAGGCATTCACCTTTCAGTGACCTCCTCATATATACAAGCCTCATACTCAGATAAAATGGCTTTCAGCTATGGACAGGTCTGTTTTGTAACAGGCATGCAGCATTATCAACTGATACACTAAATGACTTATTTCCAGTCATTTCAATGCTTATTTCAGTTTTTAGTACATTCAAAGTCCAGTCCTTTAAAACTCTTTAATACGTGATCTTCAGCATCAAAGTCCACGCTTGAAGAGCCCTCGCACAACTAAGAAATGCCAGCATATGGGAAACTTCAACCAGGCAGAGCTGCAGCTAAAATAATTTCTTTTTATTGGCAGTTCAGCACACTCTGTATCATCTGCTGAAACTCTACAGCTCAGGAGGCAGCAATCAACTCGCATGTTTGCAGAAGCCCTGCCAGACTGCTCCAAAACAGTGTTCTGAAAACCAGTCGTCTTCTGTCAGCTCTGCTCTGCATACCAAAAGCTATGGGTACCCAAAAAGAAAACTTGTGCTCCTGAAGAAAAGGAATGTTTATTTTCAGCACATGTAGGGATTATAAAAAAGCATTCAAGCACTTCCTACAAAAATTATTACATGCAGAGAAGTAAAAGAAGTTGCTATTATGAAACTCTCCAGCACACTGAGATCCTGGTTGAAGACATCCAAGCAGGGACTTGCACATAGGTCTCCGTATTCCAGATTATTCTGTTCTAATCAAAATCTATTTTCCGCTGTGCATCTATTTTCAGTGAAAATGTTTCCTTTATTACCACAATAATCATACAACAAAAAAGCTGCTTGCAGAATATGTAGATTCCTTAACTTCTTGGTAAGAATTTAACTTAATATAGGTTATGTATCTGTAATTGCTCCCTCCAATAAACAGAAAATAATGCAACTCATCTTTGCTACAGGCCCCATCTGAGCAAAGCAATTCATTGAACATACAATTAGAAATCAGCAGAAACTATTAAAAAGGTACTTCAGTGTTTTATTGAACACCAGCTTATTCATAAACCCAGAGAAAAATTACTTGTGGTGTTGCTTTCTTATATGCATGTTGGACTCATTCACAGTAGCTAAATGCAGTCTAAAACAATAAAAGATTTAACATGGAAGGTAGAGAAACCAAATAACAGAGTAAATTCCAGGTAGTCTGAGTGCCAAATACTCATTTGCTTTAGAGAGATCCAAACAGGATAATCACTCAGCCCAAAAGAAAACTGACCAACTCAATAGCAGCAGGGACTACTCAGATGATTTTAAAATGCAGGTTTAATAAGCTCTTCTGAGAATTGCCAGGGATCTAAAGTGTTCCAGGGCAAGCAGCGGGGGAGTCTCCAGAGGGATGAACTGCCATCAAGAGGCCCAGCACTCTTGACTGTGAAGCAGGAAAAGCCAACCTTGCCACGGGCAATTATCTAGGACCTGTCCTGCAACCAAGAAGCAGCATCCCCCACCCCACGCAAAGCCTGAACGCCGGGTTAGGGCAGCATCACTGGGTGCCTCACAAAGCCACAGCTGTATGCTCGCAAACAAACTATACACCACCAGGGAAAAAGCTTAAGCTTTTACTCTGCTCTGCACAGCTTACCCCTACAGACATAGCTGGAGCATTTTCAGAGTCCTGAGGAGGCCTCTGAATGCAGCCCATGTTCAGTAAAAGCACAAGTCACCATCTGGAGGTGCCTGTCTCTCCTGATTGTCGAGAGAGTCCACACAACCATTTTCAATTAACAGCACTTCTTTCTTTTTCTTCCAGCTGAAAAGACAGAGTGAGATTCATTTTTAAGTATATTCATTAACATTAAGAGGCTGAGTACACTAGAACTCAACCTGTTGTAACCAAAACTGAAGAAAATGAATAATCAGGGAGAAATAACTAGCTATTTAAGTTCTCACTGCTGCCAAAGAAACATCAGCTGAGGAGGATAGGTTAAGCCTCTTGTTTGGTGTTTGTGTTACACTTTGGAAAATGAGTTTGCTAATATTTAACAAAAAGGCATGAAAGTCTTTTATTAATTGTTCTGTTCAAAAGCTACCAAAAAGTCAAACATCTGATAGATTCCAAGTGATAAAATGTGGGAATTCAAGGAAACAGAAGTAATTTTTCAACAACCGCTTGGGAAAATGCAGCTTCTTCCATCCTCTTTCTCTTCTCCAGTGATGTAATTACTAACACCTAACTGAAGTCATATTATTGATTTGAAGCTAACTCTTGCTGGATTTATCAAAACTTAAAAAAAAAAGATGGTTCAAAATGACAGAGTACATTAGCTACCTTATCACTGATTTTTTAAATCACAGTTCTAACCACAAGGTGGATGGTCATCAGGAAGTATAAAACAGAAATCCTTTAGGACAATATCTTGAGACACGAATGTAAGTCTAGATGATCCCAGATGAAGATCTGATGGAACTACATGACATCAAAGAGGTCCCATTTAGAGAGGTCACAGCCCAAAGAGTATCCCCCAAAGAGCCATGGACCTGGGGCATAGGCATTTCTGGACAAGGTCTGATGAATATTGTACACTAGAAAGTATCAGCTAATGGAAATCCCAAGTTATGATTTCATGAAGGAGGTGGCAACTCAGGGTAATAGCTAGACAGTCCATTTTAAATATGTGTTTGGGGGAGAGTGGCAGAAGAAAAGGGAAAGAAAGATACTTCAGCATCATACTTTGTTCGGCTGTATTTCCCTTTCTGTTTAATCAGTTTCACCTCCTCATAGAATTTTGCTTTGCTGCCATCTTGCAGAAAACCATCAGTAGATCATAGGTAGTCCATTTTTTGCAGTCTTACCAGATGAAAATGTCTTACAGTTGCTTTGAATTTTATAAAGAATCTTTAGGGATCTTTATAAAGAATTGCTACACTCCAATTTGTTACACCACTGATTTGATCTTCCTTTTTTTTTCCAGCATCATCCAGCTCTTCAAGAACTGCCTGTCCTTCATATAGCCAGCACTTCTTCCAACGCTTACTAATCTACTGAGCTGAAGAAAAGAACCAAAGCAGGCAGCAAATAGTGACATAACATTCACCTCCTTCATTATCCTCCATTTTAGATCAGAAGTTTCCTCACTCCTGTTCTCCTTATGAATTACAGGTGAGTGTGAGCCAGATAATAAACTGGTTTCCATGAAGATATATGGAGGAAGAGTTTTACATTAACTACCATAGTTCAGACATTCACTTTAAAAAAGAAAATGCTTTCCTTAGTTTCAGCTCCCACAGAGGTACAAACTCAACAGTGTATGTTATGACACCTTTTTGATTAAGGTAACAAAAAAGTGAAAGTAGTCATGTCAACAAAATTGCTAATATTTCTATATTCTACACAGGTTAAACTGTAACAGCCTTGTACCTTTGACTTCTGTAGCTGGTTCACCCCAAGCTTGGTATCTTCATTTCAACAAAAATATAAAAATGCAACATTCATGAATGAGAGTCCTTAGCCTTGTAGCAAGGTCTGTGCCAAAATTATAAATGCTTTTATTCTCATGAGCATGCACACTCCTCCATGATTCTAGTTTGGTGGCTTCTGTTTTGCTTGTCTGCTTTAGAAGGCACTTCAAAGACTTCATAATCAACAGGAAGAAGAAGTTTTACATAGTTTTGGTGCAAGTTCAAAAATTGGTCTTGATTTAGTCAAAAGCATATGCACCCCCAAAAATAGGATATCTAGAGCAATTTTAGTATAGAATATCTTCCATGCACAGCTCTTCTACTTACAAACGTGGGGCATATCTTTCTTCCTATGCAGAGCAATGATTCCAGTGCTTCTGTAACTTCTGTATCTTGCCATCTCTGTGACAAAACTGATAACTAGAAACATTAAGAAATAATTTAGCCTGTTTCAACTAGTTTTTATTGAAGATTAATTACCGTAGCTTTCAAACTGGCAAAGACTTGTGCAGCTATAGCCATACTATCAGACAAATTCGGGGACTGACACTGGAAAGAGACACTTGCTCTAGTGTCTAGAATTTCACTAACAAAATAAACATTATGGTTTCAATTCACTGAAAGGAAAATATACCAACATGAGCAATGAAATTTGACTAAGGTCACTGCAATTAATGGACTGGAATCAATCAGTACGTAAATGCTGGATAGATATAATCATTCTGAACAAAGTTTGCCATGACTGCAAGATGCTGATTTCTCATGGTTAACACTTAAGATTTAGCCTCCTAGATTTGCATGTGCCTGTTTTTAAGAAGAAGTAAGATCCTATTCCCTGGTGTGACTTCCCTCCTGAAGAAGAATACAACTTCAGACCCTTGCATGCAATTCATTATTTCACATCTATGATCCTTGACATGGACACCCTAGATTTAGACAAGGCAAGCCACATGCTGAGCAGCAGCACAGACACAGCATATTTACTACAACACTTCTGTCAGGCAGCTGCCACTCTCATGTTCCCAGCTGTTTTGCCATTTTTTTTGGTGACTGCTCTTGCCACAAAGCACTTACATTGCTCTCTCCTACATCCCTTTGTACTGGATAGGCAAAAGGCTAATGGCTGGCTACTGTTTGAAGTGACTGACAAGTCAGCCAGCTAAACCAGATTTTGCTCGAGGCCTTTATTTTTGTTTCTACTTTTTCCTTGGCTGCCAGCTTTCTGGAAGCTCTAGAAAATTATCTATCCTTGAAGCTTTTACTTCCCCATTAAATGTGGCTGTCTTTGTAAGATGCAGTAATATTCACTATGCATAAATGTGAACTGAACCAGGATTATTAATTTCTCCAACATCAGTCACACATCGCATATCCTGGGTCACTCCTGCCTCCATAATTTTTTTGAATGCTATCTCCTTGCAGACGTCAGTACTGCAGATATCAGCATGGACAAAGACCCCAGGCTACAGATTCAGTCTGCCTCAGTCTAACAGAGGTGGGGAATACATCTTCAAATACCCAGGGCACTAGCTGAACAAGCCAGACGCTATGAAACACTGCACAGAGTTTTCCTACAAAAATACATGTTTTTCTCTTGTTCTTCTGATCCAATTATTTCCCAAGACATGTCAAAAAAAGCCAAGTATTGGTAAAAATAGAAAAAAAATGACCAGCAAAGAGGCAGTTCCCCCTTACTCTCCTCATTCCCTCCCACCCCAAGGAAATGCTGGCATCCTGCTGAAGTGATGTTTTAGGACATCATATTTCAACTGTTGTTCTCACAGATAATATAACTTCTAAAGCACTAAAAAGTACAAAACTTGATGCATAAGATAAAAACCATACAGGCACCTCCTCTTCTCTAAGAAAGGCAGCTCAGTAAAATTCTGCCATGGCAAGCAGCACAGAAAATATTTTACTTTCAAATCCTTCCTCATCTAGGACTCACAAAATAGATAAAACAAACATAATAAAGAGAACAAATTAACAAGTGACATTCCATCAGCATGTTGACTGTACTTTTAAATAAAATATCAAAGATAAATAGGTTATAGAAGCACATTTGGATTTTATGAGAACAATATCTAGAATGCTATTTAGTCCAAATCTCCATGTTACAGCTTAGCCCTATAAGCCTGTGGAACAGTGCCCATTTCATGCTTGGAATATTCATATTTAGTAAGAAGATTTTTATTAAGAAAAATAGGTTTAAAAAGCAAAACATTATATTTTTTCCCCCAGTGTCCTAGATAGATAGTTGAATTATTCATATTCAAAGAAGAGCTATGGATTTTGCCTTTCTTCTTTCTTTTTTTAATTATATCTATATAACTTGCAGCTGGTAGTCTACAAAGAGTTGTCAACGTATGATAGGACACATAGCCCAAAATACTAGCACTTTGGAGCTAAAACAGCCCAGGAAGTTGTTGTGGAAACCTGATGACAGTTTTGTTGTTTCAACACCGACTAGAATTTCAGCTACTAATGATGGAAGGATAAGAAAGAGAACATTGATCTGGATTTTTAAAATTAATGGTGATAACATTGTGCAGCTGAAATTGCACTGTGGAGAGAGCTGGGATCCTCTTCTTGTCCTACAGTGCTAAACCAAAGCAAATAAACAAAAAGATTTCTCACTTACATGGCGATAGGACCATCTGCTGCCCAAGTAATAACCCAGAATAAAACAGTCCTTCAGGCACTGCGCTAGCTGGAGCAGCATGTATGCAATGCGCACAGTGATATAATTCACCTGCTGTGAGGAGAGAGGCTGCCTTATGTAAGGGGCTACCGTTTCCCTTTTCAATTGCTGGCTATGCAGCTTTTCAGTGCTCCCAAAGGCTGTTTCATTTCTCAGACTACCTTTAACCAGAGACAGTCTTGCGAGAAAAGTACAAGTCTTTAAGGCTAACGTTACAATCCAAGCAGAAGAGCTAGTCACACAAAGAGAAAGGGTTTTCAAAGCTTCAACTCATTTAAAATGACACATTCATTTCTGCAGTTTTTCTGCATATAAGCAAGTGAAGAACCTCATTCTGCATTCTACTGAACACCTCAAATACCCTTGACAGTCAATGAACATCTGAAGTCCAAATGAATACAGAATTAATTCCTAAGGCTGTACAGCAAAACAAGTCAGGAACCACCCGTACTACAAAAGTCACTGCGGAAATCTTTGAAATCTTGCAGCAGGTCAACTGAAACCAGGCTGCACTTCACTACTGGTTTTGTAACACACTTTTCATTTTCAGACCCATTTGCCTTAACTAGCGCTTGCCCACAATATAGCATTATCATAAGTGCAATGACCTAAACTACCCTGATAAAAACTACAATAGGTAGGTCTATCCATACTCAGTAGCAGGGCATTCCTAGGACATTCTTCTAACCAGATTCTTAGCACCTTTAACTCTCCCAGGAGTCTTCAAAGGAGCTGATGGTACTTGGCTCCTGGGTCTTTTAAGCCTTTCCTTTTTCTTCCACTGGAGGGGAAAGGAAAGGAGGTGGGGGGGAATAGAAAAGGACAGAATCAAACAAAGTCAACAACACACACATGCTCTCCTACACACAAACATACCCAAACAGGGGGAAAGAGAAAAAAAAGGAAAAAGGAAAGCTGTATGAGGTGCCAATCTGGAATGAAACAGATTTTTGAACAGACAGTCATATTTGGCACTGCCAGTAAAAGCTTGTGGGTGGCCCTGTGTCTCTCTGAGCCTTAATGCCCTTTTTAAATCGGTCATTTAAAAACATCCCCCAGAAAGTTCAGCTGTGCTGCTTCTGACATTATTTTCACAATGCTGCTGATTGGACTCAGTGGAGAGATCCTCTTCCCCCCACCCCAGTTCCATAAAGCACTATACATTAAGGACATATTCCATTTGGCCTTCAAGTAACATTTTTATGGTCCATGCAAATGCACAATTATTTTCCCTTTAGAAAGAAACAACAGAAAACAGAACACTCTGCTGTAGAGAGTTGAAATTAAAAGCTATTGGATCTCCCAAACACACTCCTACAATCCTCGGGCAGAAGACTGGAATAAAGGGTCCTCACACGGTTCTAGCTGCATTCTCAGTACACCACTTTTATGAAGAAACCAGAGCTGTAGAAATTCCTCTGGCATGGCATGGAATCCAGAATCAGGCAGGACATTGTCATAGTAATGATGGCTAATAAACTTCCCATGCAGGTCCACCGAGAATGGCCAGAAGCCATAAATTGTTACTTCTTCACACAGACCAAGGGCAGCACTGACTAGGAAAAGTCCCGTGGAAAGCCGTTTGGCATGGATACCTTTGCTCTTCCAGAACTTGCCAATGTCCCGCAGGAAATTGGGGTTGGCAAAAAGGACCGCCTGCTTGGCACCAAAGTCTTTCAGGGTGTAATAGACACGTAGGGAGGGTCCCGTCCCCGTCTTCATTGAGAAGGCTGGCATGTAGATGTAGCTGTGATTATACACCTTCACACTATCCACAAATGCCTTTCGAGACCACAGCAGATTCTGAAACCTGTGAAACAACAAGAGAAAAACAATTTGGTCGCACAGAGGTTTTCCCAGTCATTTCAAAAAGCTGCTCTCCACAGCCATATTTAGAATTAACAGCACATATTTCCCAAGCCCAGAGAAAGGCCAGATAAACTTCTGACTGTCTGACGCTGCCCCTCCTCTGAGATGATAAACTTTAATAGACACTTGAAAACTACCTGGTACCCTGCTAACTCCAAACCCTAAAATGTTTCTGATTTAATAATTTTTAAAATCCCTGACTGACCACAGGAAATATTCCTCAAAATCAATCCTGTTTAGTGACATTTTTCCTTTGTTCAAAAACCAACTTATATCTTTCAGGCATGGGAACCTTGAAAAGAAATTTTAAAGTCCACCCTGTTCTTGCTTCTTAAAAGCATACTAAAAAAATATCCAAGTTACATGCTGAATAAGCAATACCAAGAAATATTTATATAGAAACCTTGGGCTTATAAAACTTGTAACACTTGTAGGAATTGTTTCTGTTATGCCTGTATAGTGACTTAGGTTACACTACCATAGTAGTTAATTCTCATTCTGGAACTGAGAGAATTCTCAAAGAACTTACTTTGTTACAAACAATAAGACAGAAATTGATTAATTGTTCAGGATAAGTGGCACCACAAAGAAAACAGCAACAGGCACCAGACAATATTCTGTGGTGTTTAAGATGTCACAATTTACACACTGAGTAAGTTTAAAAGCAGCTGGTATTTGTAGCATGCAAATTAAAGGGGAAACTAGTTGGCAACTATGAGGAGGGCAACACCTACGTACAGGTTATTTCTCTAACATGATAGTTTCCTCATTGCTTGATATAAAAACCATATCAGGTTACATTTTTTTTTAAATTGCCAATAACAATTTGCTGATATCTATTTTATCCCTGGTGGGGATATAGACTTATAGACTTTTATTTTATTCCAAAACCAGTATCCTGTCAAAATACTTTTCCTTGCCATATGCTTCTGGATATGCCAGGATGAACGAAATACCTGGCAGGAAATCCTAGGTCATTCACACACCCCAAACCCTTCACTGATGTTTGACCTGTCCTGACATCTGACACTAAACAAATCACTTCTCAGTAAAATATTGAAGTGTCCCAAATATGTATCATTAGATGTAACTGATATGGAGATCGGCCAGAGTCATAATAAAATACAGTATCTAAAACACAAACTTGCTAAGTGACAGGAACACTTACTGTTGACTGCATTGGAGGGTACCTTTGCATGAGTAAGTCACTATGATTTACTCTGGATAATCTGCTTGCTTTCCAGAGTCCACACAATCTTCAGAGCACAGTAAGCCCTCCCCACCTCTAACACATGATAGCATCTATAGCCTGCAGCATGCAGGCAGAGTTTACTGCATTATAAGTCACTTCTGCACAAGCCTCACACTCTTTTCATTGCAGCTGGGTTGCTCTCCTGCCTGTGTTCCCTAATTTTTTTCTGAGCTCCCAAATGCCTGTCTTGCCCTTGTTATTACCTTTTCTCTGTTTCCTGCAGTTGGGGCAAATGTGTCACAATGGATTTCATAGACAGGCAGCAGAAAAGAGGTGCAGGCAGAGAGATACGTATAAGAATACCTTTTTTAAAATGGTTATGAAGGGATCAATTTTATAGAGCTCTTTGAAACAATAGTAAGAATCACACACACAACAACATGCACAGGTTCAAGTAGAATGCCAGATGACCCCAAGAAGCACCATCTAAACTTTCAGCTGAAACAATGGTCAGCAAAAAAATACATGGCTTCAACAGCCTTGAAGTGTCTCACGAATATGTGCCTGTTCTTTGAAGTCTTTGTTTTAGCAGAAAACTCAAAATATTCCTAATAAGTTTAAAGATTTTGTTGACATTTTCAACATGCAATATTTGGTCTCCTGATTTCTTATAAGTTTCTTTCAAAAATTCCTTCACATAGAATTAGAATACATCTGTTCCACAGCAAAACCCATGAAATCTGTCTGGGTCTTCATTACTGTTTTGCTCTGATGATCTGCTTTGTCTACATGATGCTATTTGCTAATGTAGACAAAGCCACTGCCTTCCAAGCAAGAAATTGATTCAACCTGAACACACAAAACAAAGCAATAAAAATAATTTCATAACTTACTGCATTTGGCATTCTTTTCTGTAGAAGTAGCCAAGACACAGATGAAAACAGAAGGCCAGCCAAGACCAAGGTGCCCTGGCAGAAATTCATTGTCTGGCTGTACCTTCTCATATGGGCCCTGCCACTCCATTACTATCAGACTTTTAACTAAGTATTCCAAAAAACAGGCTTTACCATCCTCTCTTTCAAAGGAGGAAGCAGGACGACTTGCCAGATACTAAGGAACAGGAGTTGGGCCCGTCCTATCAAACTTATTTCAATTCCATCAGAACATAGTCACTGAGAATAAAAGGGAAAAAACCCTAGCTTAATACTTCCAATATTCACCCAGGTGCTCAGACCCCCAGTATCCAAACCCTGTTCTAATAACCCTAATTTTTTTTAAAAGGTAGAATAAGATCTACAGCAGGCTTTTGGACTACTGCCCTCCCCATAATCTGGAACATCCACTGGAAGGTGGGTGATGCAGTTTCAGACTTCTCTGTACAGTAAAAGGAATTCAAGCACACAGCTTGATGTCACGAGGTCTTCACACCTCGGCTGAGGGGAAGGCAGAGATGGGTCCTCTTGTCACTCCTGGAAGCCAGTTGTACCATGTCCTTTCCCACTTAGAACTAGTGAATAAATTTAACTTCAGAATGCAAATGGATGTGGTTATTCTAAAACTGCATTTTTCAGCAAATGTACCGTTCACAGAAAAACACTGTGCCACTCTAAGTTTAATACATTAAAATTGATCAGATGCCTTCACAGAGGGCCAGGGACTGTCTCTGAATATTCATTTGCTATCATGGCCACAACACATTTACATTTTTTTAGATTAATTTCCCCAAGTGCCTTGAAGTAATGAGAATTGAATGGTACTGCCACAGGAGCAGTGCCTGAGAAGGACTTCACACAGAAGGGACAGTATTTGTCATGCTGCTGCAAACTGTCCTTCAGGAACACCATCACCTCCTGCAAACCCATGCCTTATTCCAATGATCTAGACTGCAGTGTTCGTAGGCATCACTCCCAGTTCAACAGATGGACATTATACAGGTGGCTAGCAGCCCATGTAGAAACATAAAACATGCTGATTATGGCTGGTCTGGTGGTCTAACACAGCCAAAAAGCTGCTGCCCACCTTGCACTCCTCGTGCAAGTAGATATTAGAAGCAAATGAATTTTTCTCTTCCCCATTTATAAAAATAGGAGCCCCAGCCAGCTTCCTGACATTTCACAGACTGGTTAGAGGCTGAGAAAATAGAGGACAAATGCTGTGCATCAGCAACTTTCTAGAAATGGCACTAGAAGCTCAGATATATTTTCCTTTAACTCCCAAGTCAGACAGGGAGTCCTCCAGGCAACCCATTCCAGGTGGCTTTCAGGGTAGCATACTGCATCTGTTCTAGCAGACAGCTAGGAGCCTACCCCATGCCTGACAGACTAGGAGAAGTTTTCTTCTACAGCTGACCAGCTCCACAGAGCATGCTAAGCAAGACAATGTGTTTTTTTTCCTGCTTGCCCTGGCATGGACACCGCCAGCCTGGTGCAGTCCTTGCATCCAGATAGAATCGACTAGGTTGGAAAAGACCTTTAAGATCATGAAGTCCAACCATTAATCTAGCACTGCCAAGTCCTCCACTAAACCATGTCACTAAGGGCCTCATCTGCATGGTTTTTAACACTTCCAGGAATGGTGATTTCACTATTTCCCTGGGCAGCCTGTTCCAATGCCTGATCACCCTTTCGATGAAGAATTTTTTTCCTAATATCCAGTCTCAAAGTCCCCTTGTGCAGCTTGAAGTCATTACCTCTCGTCCTGTCACTTGCTTCTTGGAAGAAGAGACCAAACCCCTCCTCCCTCCATCCTCCTGTTAGGTAATTGTAGAGAGTGATGAGGTCCCTCCTGAGCCTTCTCTTCTCCAGACTAAACACCCTCAGGTCCCTCAGCTGTTCCTCATCAAACTTGTGTTCCAGATCCTTCACCAGCTTTGTTGCCCTTCTCTGGACCCACTTCAGCACCTCAATATTTCTCTTGTAGTGAGAGGCCCTGAGCTAAGCACAGTGTTCAAGGTACAGCCTCACCATGTGCACAAACACCTTCCCTCATGCCAATCCTCTCCCAGCCTCCTTTAAATGAGGAGCCGCTAGCTCCTAATTAGTGTTTGCGTTTACCTGACACGCTTTGAGCATGGGGTACTCCCAGCAGCACAGCCCAGAAGCTGTGCAGCTCATCCCCACACACCAGGCTTCAAAAGAAATATATCAAATAATCCAATCCCTCATGCAAGAATGCCTCTTGGGTGACATTATCTCTCTAGCTCAACTCTAAGCAAGAAACAGCTGAACTGCTTTCAGGGTCATCTTCTCACCTTCTTCAGTCAAGCTCACACAAATTCGTGGTGGGCTGCCAGCATCTAGGTAAAACTGGATTTGGAATCTCCTGAGCAGAACCTGAAGACTATATGAGTAATTTGCAGTAAATGCATCCAGGCAGCTTGACAGCAGCCCAGAGAAGCACTGATGACCGTGGACACTCATGAAAGCTGATCACGGCATGTTCAGCCCAGGCGCTTCACTTCTACTACACTCATTAATGGACAGTGAGCAAATAAACTCTCATCAGCAAGACATTTTTGCCATCAGATCCATATGACAGATCAACTTAAAAAGCACAACTTTCAACAGGCACATGTAGGCACAGCTGCACAGATATTAAGGGAAATAATTTCCCTGATACCAGTTGTATAGTTCCCTTAAATGCTCTGCTCTACTTTTCCAGAGGAAGATGCATCTAAGAGGAAATTGCCACAACACGTTGTCATGACAGTACAATCAAAGACTTAAGAGCATTAAATGTTTTGGGTTTCA